AAACGAAAACAATACGCTGGTGACTCTGCCGTTTGTGCCGGAAAACTCGCTCCTGCTCGGCATTGCGGGTCTCATTGGGATCTCAATTCCGTTCATTTTGTGCGATTATGCCATGGGTACTTATCAAATATATATAATATATATATATTTATATATATTTGTAGGGTACTTTCAATCCAAGATGATTGCAAACGCCACTCAACGGCTGCAAAAAAATTTGCTGCGCATTTTACTGCACAAACCGACCAAGTTCTTTCAAGAACGCACGGACGGCGACTTGAACAATCTGTTTCAGTCGGATATTTCCCGCGTGAACGCCATGTGGCAAGCTGTGTTTTGGGTAACTATATATGTATATATATATATATATTTGATTTATATATATTTGATATAGAACCTGATGCAACCAATTGTATCGATCGTGATTGGGTTTGGGTACTTGATGTACTTTGAGCCAATCATTGGCATCATGTCATTTTCATTCTCGGCAATTATCGCGACGTCGGGGCCCCAGGGTCTGGCTGGAGACAAATCGCAGGACTTTGGCAAGAAGAGCGCGTACGTGTCGGCGGAATTCCAGAACGCTATTGCGTGTCAAAAGGTATATATATATTATATATATATTGTGGATTTGGTACAACTTTCCAGATCATGTCGAATAATGGAGTATCTCGCTGCCGAATCAATAATCACGAATTGATGCTATTGGCTAATCTAAATTTTGAGTGGATTTGATTGGCTCTTCCTGAAAAAAGACTAGTATTTTCAATCAATTAGTAGAAGATCCAGCGTGATTCAATATTGATTAAACACAGTATATATGTATAAATATAATGAATGTACTAGTAGCAATATTGATTAAACACAGTATATATGTATAAATATAATGAATGTACTAGTAGTGTGTATTCCTATTTTGATTGTATGCAAGGACAGGTTGTATATTCATGTATATGTATTCGTTGTCTTGAAAAAGTATACTTATATCATTGATGTATTGTATGGAGTTGTATAAAATGGGGATATTCATTCATCAAGAATGTGAAAAATTGACTAAAAGAGTGTAATTAATATGCGTAAATCCATATCTCAAGATTGATGTACAATTGCGAAATATATATATATATATTTATCTCCATTTGATGAATAGGTCGTTCGCGCATACGAGATCCAGACGCCGCTGCTGGCAAAGTTCGGTGCATCAATTCGGACGTTAAAGTTTGCTCAATTCGCCAAAGACTTTTGGAGTGGAATTGTCCAAATTTACATTGAAAGCGCCATGTTTATCTTTGTATCAGTCATGACAGCTTGTTTGGCTATCAAGGTACTATATATATATATATATATATATTAACAATGTGGGATATAGGTGTACTTTGGCAACATCACGGCGGGGGATTTTTTTGCCAGTGTGACGATGCTCAGTCGCATATCGACGCCTGTGACAGTTTTGGGTGGGTTTATGCGCGTAGCCATCGGCAACGCCAGCAGTTTACAACGCCTTGACGCTATTGTCATGCAAGTACGTTTGATTGAATATTGATTTGTAATATATTGGATATGATTACAATCGTTTCGAGATATATATATATATTGTGAATTTAGTCCTAATTTGGACTTGAGTGATTTCGAATCTATTTGATCCTATTGAAACTTGTGCACACTATACTATACAAAAATAAGTATATATATATTGTTTTGCCCAATCCTGGAGGGGTTAAACGTTTGGATGGGCAGCAATTCAACATGACGTGATTTGTATCGATTATTCTCGTTAGACATTCGATTCTGCTGATAGCTCGAATCGATTTGACAATATATATATATTTCGATTGAGAGCCTCTTGACGAATAATAAAAATAATTATATTACGATGACTAGACCAACGACGACGAGTTCCACGACCAAGCGAAAAAAGACTTGGAGAAACCCACACTTCCTCGCATGTCCAAGTCGTTAACGCTGTCGCACGTGTCGTTTTCGTATGCGACAAGTGGCGACAAGCTCAACCTGAACGATATCACAGCCGTGATCAAGCAGGTTTTTCCTTATTATTATTATTATTCCTCGGTATTATATATATTTCTAGGGCGAATATGTGTGTGTGGTGGGGCCCAGTGGGTGTGGCAAAAGCACGCTATTGAGCTGTCTGATGCAATTTCAAACGATTTCGTCGGGGGCGATCTGTGTGGACGGCCTCGATACACAGCAGTACTCCAAGGCCAGTTTGGCCGATCAGACTGCCGTGGTATTTCAAGATGGAGGCATCCTCAACGGCACCATCTTGGAAAATATCCAGTACGTATATATATATATAAATATGTACGAATATATATATATAAATGTGTACGAATATATATATATATAAATGTGTACGAATATATATATATATATGTACGAATAACTCCACGAGCGTTCTAGATACGAGTCTGTTTCTATATATATGGTATACCTTTGTAAGACTAGCAATGAGAGTGTAAGATGTATGGGTGGTGGTTGTATTCTATGGACTGGATATATATATATATATATGGTAGGTGGTAGATTGCCATCTTGTATAGTCATTTATATTGGTGTGTTTTACTCGAAAGTGTTGAACTATATCCAACCATTGTCGGACGACGTATTATATACATATCTCAGTGTAAGAGGTTTCGTTATGACTATGTATTGGTTGTAGCCAATTATGTCGAAAAAATATCATTCGTTTTGTCCAATCATACTGCTTTCCTCGATGATTTCGTCATGAAATCAACATCCTCAAAATTGGCAAATATTCGCCAACACGTACAAACGTGAATGGCTATATATATATATATATATATATAGTGCAGTCGCGAAACTCTTGGTAGTGCTTGAATGTATATGAACATTATTTGCATACCGAATCCACACACTATATATATATAAATATTTATGTATTCCTTGGACATGTACAGATACGGACACCCCCGCGCGACCGAGCAAGAGTGCATGGAAGCGTCGAAAGCGGCCGAGTGCGATGGATTTATCCGACTGCTAAAGGACGGATACCAGACGATCATTGGTCAGCACGGCACGGCCAACTTGAGTGGCGGCCAAGTCCAGCGTATTTGCCTCGCCAGAGCGTTGGTCCGTAAACCGAGGTAATTGTTTGTTTGGAAATAGATGATATATTTCATCTATTTTAGTTTGCTGCTGCTGGACGAAGCTACGAGTGCGCTGGACCCAGAGACCGAAGCCAACATCGTCGCGACGCTTGAACGCCTCGCGCGGAAAATGCACGTGACGGTGCGTGTATTCGACTGCAGATATTTATTTTCAGTCTCATGTATAATAAATTCTAAATATATATTTATATATATATATATATATTTGTGTGTAGGTGATCTCTGTGACGCATCGGTTGTCCACGACACGCAATGCCGACACGATCATCGTGTTGGATGACGGCAAGATTGTCGAAACTGGCACGTACAAACACGTAAGTCTTTTATATATATATATATGATAAATCGTTCATAGTATTATACACGACGGCGTGTTGTTCTGTGTGAGTCATTCGGATGGCATAACTTACGTGTTGTTGTATATATATATATAAATATTTAAACATATTTTTGTAGCTGATGAATCGACCGGGATCTGCGTTTGCCGAGATGGTGCACAAGACAGGGGATACTCCCGTAGACCACCGGGACACCAGTCGCAACAGTTCGTTTGTGGGGTTTGTAGTCGAAGACTTGGGCAATGTACTCGACACCCACGAGGCCCTGCACGAGTTCCAGCGCAAGCTCAGCAACCGATCGGTATATATATATATATTTAAATAATATTATTATTGCCCGAATAGGGAGAAAATGGGGCGATCTTGAGTGCGTGGCAGGTGCGCAAATTGAGCTCAGACCGCCGCCATTTGTCTCGAGGCGCGAGTCAGAGCGGCAGTGGGCTGGCCAATCTGTCGGCGGCGCGCGACAGCCACGACGAACGCGATAGCTACTTGGTTTTATAAGTCGATATATATATATAATATACATGTTTGTATACTCGGGTGATAAAGCTACCTGCTTGGTTTTATACGACCACTCGTTTACTATATATATATATATATACATGGGGGTTGCATGCATACTCCGGTTCACAGACTTTCTCTGAAGAGAGAGTGCTGTACGACGGACTCCAGGTCGTATATAGTACACTATATTATGACCAGTGGAATTAGTGTGAGATAAATCATCATGTGGAGATATGTAAATATAAAACTCCAAGTGATGTCGTACTTGAACTTTGTATACATTGGTATGGAGAATAAAAATGAATGAATCGACGCAGAATCGGACGAAGGATTGAGCCAATCAGTTTGCAGGAAACCGTCATTACATTGTGATGACTGTACACAAGTGAAAATTTGGGGTAAAAGGAAAATATCTCAGGATCAGGTCGATCATTCTGATAATTTGGTACACACCCTTCCGTACTGTATTAGGTGCATTGACACTGGTTAGATGCAACCAAACACCGAGAAATGGCATTTTATGTACTCTTAAGGGCCTGGTCCAAGTACATGTAGATATTATTTTAGCAAATCAAAAATTCGTTCCAAATACAGTTTACTATGTTTTTGCCTCTTTATCTGCGATTTTTACGCCACTCGCTCACTATACAGTACCAAAAGTAGAAGCAGAGGGTCCTGGACGTCTTTTCCTAAAGCGTGAAAAAACAATGAAGTAAATCAATTTTGATTGGCTCATGCAATTTCTGAAAACTTCTTGGAACTCAGCATACAATTATATGAAAACACAAGGAGTGTTCCGATGTTACAGGGTACTCTTAATTAGTCTAAAATATTGGAGATTCGGTATGAATTTCCGGACCCCGTTCAATCGAATATCGCCAACCGAATCGAGCACCAATCTCTCCCATTGGTCAATCCGAAATTGCTTGTCGCTGATTGGCTACAATCCATTTTCGAGTTTCTACTGGAAAGAGTGAAGTGGATAATGGCCAATCAGATGTCTCGGCTCTATTTGTCCTCGATTGGACGAACCATGCAAAATTGGGAAATTTGAAGAAAATGGACAATACTTCGAAGTAGAAAATAGTACTACATAGAAAGCACCACATTAGCATAGTACGGGACATATGGGTTCGTTGAAGTTGTAGTTTTGGATTTCCGAGTTGTGAATTCTTGAACTCTGTTTTCTCGGGAGAAGGCTTGGTGCGCCAAAGATAACGTAAGCGCTGCAATTCACAGGAAGTCCATGATCCGGATCGATCCGAGCGAGACGACGGGGGATGGGTTTTTTTTACCTCTAAAACCATATACTATTGTCCTTTTACCCAATATTTGGACTTTTGTGCTCATTCGCCAAATCTATCGATCGATTCTTTGTACTGACTTTTGCATGTAAAGATCGTACGAATTTCAATCACACACTAATTCGATGTTGAATTATTCGATGAGTGGATTTGATTGGCTAGTTGATTCATCTTTTTTGTTTTGATTCGTCGTGTATCGATTGTCTGCCGATTTGATGCTGCTCAATCGATTGAGCTCCCCATTCCAATTTCGAATCGAATGAACAATACTAGTATGTGTTTAGTGCTGTAGTATAGTAAAGTGATTCATGTAATCCCAGGCCAGCAAGTGCCCAATCACAATCATCCATGGACTATGATTGGACAAAATTAGATACTCTTGTACTACGTAGTATCAAATCTGTGTTAAGATTTAATCTTGAGCTTGTCGGACATGAAATATGGTGCACTTCATCTAAAAATTTCCAACTGGCCAAATTGAAGAGTGGAGGTTTTATTATTTAACGTGCAATTAATGTAGTTAAACCCAAAATCCAGATACGTTAAATACCAATTGCTTGCGTTTTATCACTGGAGTGGGAGGTTAAAGGTCCCAACTGCCTCCGGATATTAAATACGGATAAGAGTCACATACAAAAATCAAGATACACTTGAGCGGCCACCCCTATGGCCAAATATCCAAGCGCCCATGTAAAATACCGCTAGGTTAAATATCTATTTCTGGACCAATTCATCACAAAATTTGAATTTGAGACGTAAAATTTCTTCACCACATTGAGATCTGTCGATTATACGTCTCAATTTGCTGCAATTTTGAGTAATGAATATGAAATAGAAGTCAGAAAATTTTGTGAAAAGTTGGTAGTTTATAGATGACGTACACCATACAGTTTTTTATATAAGTTGCGCTTCTAAATTTAATTACTTGAACAATTTATAAATATCATTATTAAGAGGTTCTGAGGATTTTGTCACCCAAATCAGGTATACATAATTCAAGTGACTTTCTGTCTGGGAATCAAATTCACATAGGAAAATTTCAATTTTACTGTTAGAAATTCGACGAGAAAATTGACGATGCGTACAAATGATGGAACCTGCATAAAGTTATAATGCTCGTCACGATCTTCAAAATGCATGTTTTCGCAGCCTCATCATATGAATTGGTGACGAGTTTTGGCACTCAGAAAGTACATTAGTAGGCCAAGCTGCCCGGGAATTACAGTACATGAATCACCTTAACATAGTAATACGAATGTAGCCTATTACTGTAGCTGTGGCATAAGAAAGGTTGCCTTAAGCTTAGCGTAAAAAACCAAGTCCGATGTCGTCTAATGTACAGTATAACTATGCTAGATGGAATACACTTTTTGTATACTACCATAGGTCTGTTAGCAGCAATAAGTACATCATCACACAACTCGCATTACAACGTTAGGACGGGTCTACACTGTGGCTGGCCATGCAGCGTTCTGTGTATGTTTGGCTCCCGCTAACGTTACCATTATGTACAAATATTACTGTACAGTAGTACCCTGTCGCAGCTAGCATGATGATTTCACCGAGAAGAGGTGACTACGGGGGGGGGCTTGGCAGTGTTGCTAAGTGCTGGGGCGGGCGGTCGAGTCGCTACTTTTGGCCCCACTCAAGTCGAGTTCACAACGACGGACGCAGCGGTTTACAGTATTTGGCGGTGGTCGTGGATGGAAGGGATCTTTGTTATGAAAACATTATAGCATATGACCACGAAACGCGGTGTATCTTGAAAGGGTGCCGTGATATTGAACATTATTGCATAAACAGAGTGTCATAAACTTGACATGGAGAATCAAACTGGTCGATATGAAGACATTTCGATGAGACTATACTTATGGGCAAAGGTCTGTGTAATTGAAAGTGCATACATATTCATTGCCAGCCCACAGATCACGACACATTTCATTCTTCTGTGAATGAATATGTAGTGGTGACCTAGCCTACTATACTACAGTAGTACTAGAAGTAGGCATCGCATCTCATCTGTACGCGCTGGATCAACCACATGACGACAGCCCCGGCTCGAAACGACTGCAGAACATGACACTTCCAAACCGGTGGGAGAGTCAGCACACACACACTCATGTATAGGACTGGCGGCGATTTCTTCGTCATATCTCGTCATAGCATTTCCGATTCACATCTCCACCCCACACATCCTCGTAACCATGCAAGTCTTGTTCGCTGCCATCGCCGCCGTGGCTGTTGCCCAAACCACCACCGACCATCATGGCAACATGACTTCCAACGTCACCACCTCCGGCCCCACGACCATCGTCAAGCCGGCCACCACTTCCACCACTTTCACCGCTACGACGACCAAGGCGGTCACCACGGCGGCTCCTACGACCACAAAGTCTTCGTCCGCGTCGGCTGCGTCCGTGGTGGCCAGTGTCGCGATCGTCGCTGCGTGGGCTGCTGTCCAGTAAATGGCGCGATGCATTCTTTAGTATCTACTGACGTTATCGTAAAGAATGTATATTGTTTGTACACTGTAGTACTTTTCGTTGCATTCATTGTGGTCAAGTTGACTTCAACTCCCAAATTGTGGGTTCAAAAATATCCATTGCATTGCTTTTTGATGGCAGTGTACGATGCAGTAACACCTTTCCCTTCACTAACGTTACTCTCGTTTAATAAAGCTGACACAATTTGGAATGCAGCGGTTGTTTTTTTGCGGAGTTCTATTATCTACTACTACATCATTTTGAGGTTAATTTCGAATAATATGTGGTATATTTCGTGGAATCCCATTTTAATTCGTGGAGCTTCATTATATTTCGCGACTTCGGCATTTATTGTTAATTTCGTGGGAATTTCGAATTCACTCATTATATTTCGTGGACTGCCAGTATATTTCGTGATTTGCTCGCAATCATCCAATTTATATCTCGTGACGAGACCAATATATTTCGCATAATGGTTAACGCAATGGGTATATATATATATATGCAGCGGTGACAACTATAGGCTCCGACCAATTCGCTGTCCATGTTTTCGGTTCTGTGGTGGAGGTGGAGAGCGTTTTGATACAAACGGTTCACATCAACTCCTTCGACAATCAACTCTACTAATATATTACGCGGTATCAGAAAATACCTTGAATGACTTGGTCAGCAATATGCTTCAGATATTGCATTCGGAATATCCTCGCGCATTCATTGTAGCTCCACCAGGACGTGGCCCAACGCATGCAGCGAGTGGCTCACTAAGCAATGTCTTTACATGGAGTTTCATTACTGAAAATAGTTTTTCTTTCCTAGTTTTCTAATCTCAGAACCTTTTCAACTATTACGCATTAGTTGGCATGTTGAGCACCGGAGGCCGGGAGCGAAGCGAACCAGGCCGAGGAGCCCCCCTACTTACTTCCGGTTAATTATCCGGATGTTTCGCGATCCACTACTAATAACATACAGTATTCTGAATGGCTATTAATAAATGGTGAGGTATAAAACGCACCTTTCCAATAAGCATAAAAGTGCATACTTCAGAAAATACTCTAAAAATACAATTATTTTGCGAAGGGTACGAAGACTTTTGCCACCGATTGCATGAGTGTAAGTTTACGGTATACTTTATTATATTATACAGTTTATTGCACCTACAGAAGCACCTGGCTCTTTGGTACCCGTTGCCGAGACGTCCTACTTTAGATGCAAGCCACTACTTGCCTTCGTAGCTACGCCTTTCCGAACGTCCAATATATAGTAGAACAACTGAACTAACGTTTCAATCAATTCAATGATTCGTATGCCTCTGTCGTCCCTACTAGCCCCAACGCTTCAACGACGAATGACCCATGGGGACACCATGACCTGGCCGATCATCCACGATTTTATATCGACGATTTCGGTAATAACAATTTTTCCCTATCCGTAGACAAGATGGAGCCAAATTCGTGGACTTAGTCCCTTGCTTTCACTTTGCTTTCAATTTTTACGTAAAAGCATTTGTGTGGCTCTTGTCGGCAATGTCCAAGTACAATGCCCTTTGATTGGTTACGTACATTTTATTTATAGCCAATTAAAAGTTATTATGAGTCATTGTTGTCATACGTTGGCTCAGCCACCACTTGCTCGGGAGGGGTTCTGTCCTCGCACCATTCAGATTTTGCTGCAAAACATAGTTACATTATATCTACTACGTACGAGGATATAGCTATGCTACACCAGGTTTCGTGCAGAAACAGCAGCAATAAGACAAGTCTAGTTAAGTCCGCTAGCTCCAAAAGCAGCTAGTACGCGGCTGAGGCCATTTAGTGCCCACTCAGTAATCTTAACTTTACAGCGTAATATCAATATTAATAGCAATAAGACCAGTCTGATCAAATTGATTTGGAGCTGTATCGGAGGTTATTTCGCTACCCTATATATACAGCTATGGTGCATTTCAACTAAAGACTACAAAAAAATGCCTTGTCTTTCGACAGCTATTCCAACTTTGTATTGATATTTTTTAGGAAAATAAGCCGTAATAACGATAGAACTGGTCAAGACCAACAGAAGTTACGGTTCAAAATTTCGATTGGTGAAAAATTGATCGAGAAATAGAATTTAAACCAA